ATCGAGGGTAACACGACACCGTCTACCGCCTTGATGACGGCAAAAAAAGCATAGGGATGTTATAAATTTTTCAATTCTCCTATTTTTTTAGGCATATCCTGGGATTCGAACCCGCACTAACGCCCTACATGCATTCCCCAATACACTTCGCATTCATACCCATTCTTCCAAGTTGCTTCACGTTATGATCTTGCGTTTGAAAGCCCTATTTGAATATTGCAGCCAGCTGTATGTGGCCAGCTGTGTTTGATGGTATGGTACGGTACGGGACAGATACGGGATAGCGCCAGGCGTGACACAAACAAACAAACACACAATTACCAAATTAAAGCTGTGTGGACCCTGGCTAGCGCCAGACGTTGCTGAAGTAACGTCTTCTGCATAGCTACGGGAATAATAATTTGAAACTCGGATGTTGAGCCATAAATAAATGTAGAAAAGAAAAGGACATATGGATACGAGTTAAGAGTAACTCTCCATCACTGTAACTGGATACTATATACAATGGACATTCTTTGTTCCGTTGGGACTGTAGCTTTTGCTTGTTTTCGTTGCGCTTGCCTTCCCCTCTTTGGTCTTTTCATAACCTTGAACCTTCCAAGTTGGAAGGCTGTCGGTTAGCGCTACGGAGATAAGTTGAAGCTAGGTGTCAGGACGTCGAATGTCTCAGTATTCTGTCAGTTTTGTGCCTAGTTATTGCACTTTCTGACTGTATATAGTATCCAGTTACAGTGATGGAGAGCTACTCTTAACTCGTATCCATATGTCCTTTTCTTTTCTACAATAATAATAATAATAATAATGTGTGTGTGTGTGTGTGTGTGCATGTGTGTGTGTGTGTGTGTGTGTGTGTGTGTGTGTGTGTGTGTGTGTGTGTGTGTGTGTGTGTGTGTCCCATATGGTGCAGTGGTATGTGCAGCGATTTCCAATGGATAGGTTGCGGGTTCGATTCCCGACGATTATGGACCGGTCTCTTATTTTGGCATGGTCCATTATTTGAGCACGGTCCACTATATTTTCATCGGCACATCGCTGGAAATGGTGGATTTTTAACACGTCATAATATAGAAGGTTTTTAACACGTCATAATATAGAAGTTCTATATTATGACGTGTTAAAAATCCACCATTTCCAGCGATGTGCCGATGAAAATATAGTGGACCGTGCTCAAATAATGAAAGAAAGCACTTGCCACTACAAAAATTGTAGTTGCGCAACCTAAAATCGCGTCCTTTTTTGATCCACCACGTGCTTTCTTAGTGCGCATGCGCAAAGCGATGAACTCAAATAAGAGACCGGGTCTCTTAGGGGCCATCCGTAAATACCGATATTTATTTAGAAACGAAAACTAGTTGTTTCTCTTCAACCCCCCTCCCTCAGAAACGAACACATACAAACGATGCATAGTATTGATATCTTTTCTTTTCTGGACGTGCCCACACATACAAACTGTGCATCGATATTTTTCGAGAAACGAACAGGCGCTAAACCCCCTCCCCCCTAAACGACTAGTTTTCGTTTCTAAATAAATATCTATATTTACGGATGGCCCCTTATTCGGGCATGGTCTACTATTTTTCTGTGAGGCCTCTAGGAGGGTCTACTATTTGAGCATGGTCTATTATTCGAGCATGGTCGGTAGGCGTTACTTCTCAGAACTCTTATCGCTGGCTATAAAACCTTTTCCTTGCTCTATATTGTGTCAGTTCAGTTCAGTTCCGTTCCGTTCAGTTCCGTTCAGTTCAGTTCCTCCTGGCAGATTGAGTCGGAGCAGTTGTGTTTTTACATATTGTTATTAAAAGTTGTACTTCAGGCAGGTTGAGCCGAAGAACCTATTGTCACCGAGTGGTCGAGTTTTCTTGTGTGTGCCTCCTAGACCACTCGGTGACGCAATACACTGGTGGCAGCGGTGGTACAGTAATCTTTAGCATTTGAACCATTGTGAGCCCCCTTGTCCTGTCCAAACTTTGAATCTATTCTTTCACCATGGCTCAACTTGCTAACGTTACAGCATCGTGAGCAGAATCAAGATGAGAACCATGTTTCTTACCTTCCTGCGCCTGGCCCTGCTTCTTAGCTAGCAGCACAGTCAGGGTGCTATTACTACTGCTAGCGTGGATCAACCTTCTCTCCGCATGGGACACACTGGAGACTCCCATGGGCCATGGCGATTTCAAGCGAACCACTACGTTCATGTATACTACCGGTGGTGATCAGGGCGAAGCTGATGAGGACGACGACAGGCTGGCTGCTGCACAAGACAAGAAGTATATATTCCCCAGACCAACAGCGTTTGATTTTCGCCGGCAAACAGTTGGAAGACGGCCGAACCCTGAGTGACTACAACATACAACATTCAGCAGGAGTCAACTCTTCACCTGGTACTTCGTCTCCGTGGTGGAATGCAGATTTTCGTCAACATTCTTCCTGGCTAGACCATCACTCTTGATGTCACGCCAAGTGATGCTATCGACAATGTGAAGACCAAGATTCAAGACCCGTGATTCGTCTGACGCCGAGCTAGCCGCTCTGAGTGACCAGCTCAACCAAGATGAAGATAAAACCTGGCTCGCCCTCCGCCATCTCTTGCCAAAAATCTTATATTGTTGAACGGCCTCTGCTGGGATGACGACTACACCATAGCTCAGTGGTTAGAGCATAGCTGGCTACAAGCGAAGGTCCCTGGTTCGAGTCCTGGTGGTGACAGTCAATTTTTTCTTCAGACTTTTCCCGTTTGTCTCTTTCCCTCAAACCAGTCAATATTGTTATAATTATAATTATTATAGGATTTGAAAATGTGTGCCTTTTATGCCGTTGTTATTATTGTCAAAATCAAATTTTTGATAGGGCAATCCCCACGCACAGTACAGGCCTTCTTCCTCAAGTACCATCAAGACTGACAAGAGTCCATAAACTCTTGGTACCATACATAAACGGTACAGGTCGTCCCCCGTTAATACGAGTCCGGTTAGTACATAAACCCCGTTAGTACATAAGAAATCTCAAGTCCCGGACGAAACGTGGTCACTTCCATACACATTTTGTCGGTTAGTACATAATTCGTTAGTACATAAACCCCGTTAGTACATAACATTTCTCCTGTATAATGGTTTTCATGGAAGTAATTAATTATTACTATTAGTTGTAAAATTATTATGTTTGAGGCATGAATGTTTACATTTAAGGGTGCGTTCTTAAATCCTCTCAGAAAAGTTGGAGACTCTCCGAAAAGTTCGAGAGCTGTTCTTATATCCTCTCCGAATTTTAGGAGGCTCTCTAAAGCTCTCCAAGCTCTCCAAGCTTCAGAGGTGGTTGATACTTGGAGATTCCCGCGGTTTGGGATCAGCGCATGCGAACTAGGCTAAAAGCCACGTGTTGATCATGAGTGTACGCATTTCCCTTTTCGCATACGCACAGCGCATACTATTATTCGTGGCACTCAAGATCGCGGCCAATTCGGCGCTTCATTTTGCTTGACATCTGCAAAATATCTCCGAATTCTTCGAGACCCGTTCTTGAAGAATCCCAGTTTCTTCGACTTCTCTTTTCTTCTTCTCCTAGAAGCTAGAGAATTTAAGAACGCACCCTTAGATTCATAGGGCGATAATATTTCTGATGAATACCCATTTTCAGCAATAATTGGAAATTTGAGCATAATTAATTGTTCAGCTGCTGTCATGGAAAGGACTGAAGCAGTGAATGTGCAGAAGAACATTGCAGGTGTGGCACGGGGTGGTTTCATGACGACATATCGCGCATGCCGTCATGAAACTACCAGGTTTTGAAAACAAGGTCCAATAAAATCTCAAATCCTAGATCCAGGATATAGGATTCGAAAAATAGGGCACAGGCCTTAGTAATATTGGGCAAGGAGATGAGCCTGAGATGTTAGTGTTTGAAAAAATTATCTTATTCAACTCTCGATATCTACTAAGACCTAGCAAGGAAGAATTGGTCACATACTTTTTGCTTTTCTCATGCCACACCCATTTTGAGTTGAAAAATATGACCAAAATCCTATATGTAGGATTTAGCAAGATAACTCCATCCGCCGCCATGGTTACTAACGCTGATTCCAGGTACTAGGTATGGCATTTTCTTTCCTGTCTTCCTTCAATCTCCCTGTTCTCTTCAGTCTTCCTTTACGCGAGTGTGTGAATACAGTAACGTTGAGTTTAGTTCGGTAGGCGTCCGACCATGGTGAGCCACGGCCTACCTAACTAACCTGGGATAATGTGTGTTAGACTTAGAGTGCCCTTTGTCCAGTTCAGTTTGGAACTGTGAAATTTTATGGCTCAACGCTAGGCCCCCGTGTAATATGCCGGCATTTTTTTTAGCATTTTCGGTACAATCCGCGTACCCAGCACTTTGGGCTCGTGATGCATCGATGCAGCATTTCGGGGGAAACGGAGCACTTGGCCGTTGTATATAAAAATTGAGAGAAGAAAAACTTCCCAAACAAGAACGTCACTTCCGCGTTCCGTGGGTTAGCTTCTTGTTGAGTAGTTTATGGATTATGAATTGTTTACCATGGCAGACTTGAGCAAGTCTCTTATTGAGTGTGTTTCAGATGACAGTGGTGAAGATGAAGATACTGTAGAGAGCGATTCTTGCAAAAAAAGTGAGCATTTTCCGAGCATTTTCGGCATCGTTTACGAAAATTTCCCAAAAGCATTTTCGGCAAAGTTTCGGGCATATTACACCGGGCCCTACTCAACGTGGTACAGCAAGACTTCTCCAAATAGGACTCACAGCACACTTACATTGTAGTGTGCTGTGAGTCCTATTTGGAGGACAAACATTTTTTCCCCTTTGCCCCCCCCCCGTGAGATCCGACGGTGTGAACCTGGAGTGATGCTATTTTATGATTTTGCATCGCTATCATCGCCTCCGGCGATGGGCGTCAAATGGTCAGATGGTGTGTGTGTGTGTGTACGTGTGTGTGTGTGTGTGTGTGTGTGTGTTTGATTCGACAAACTCACAGTTTGCAGAATACATGTACATGTGTCACCCCTCAGTCAACATGAAAGCCCCTTGATACGCCCTGACCTGACAGCCTTTGGACAATCCTTATAAAAATCAATATCCAACCAAGAGTTCACAACCCCGGAGTTATAGACAGACCCCTGCAATCTTGGTCTCCTGCATCGATCATGCAGTGCAGGTGTTTACTGCTATTTCCACACCTGTGTACTATTATGTATCTAATATTGACTGAGTACGAGGTCAATATAGGAAATAAAAGCCGAGTAAAAGACCGAGGCGGAGCCGAGGTCTTTTACGAGGTTTTATTTCCTATACTGACCAAGTACGAAGTCAATATTAGATTTATCACGACAAACAGTCCGTATTTCAAATTCCAAAACCATAACCTCATGAATCCCGGTTTTATGATTGCACAACCGTTGCACCACCACCTACTCATGCAGCGACTATGCTGCGCCACTAGCACTAGGCACCGTTCAACTGCGCAACCCTAAGCAGTCAAATATAAGCAGTCAATATAGCCCTGAGGAGTGAAATATGCAGGAATATTTGACTGCTTAGGTATGGCAAAAATCTATGTGAGTCAATACTAAGGGAGTGATAATAATAATTATTATCTTCCTATCATACCCTGGTTTCTCCTCTTGTGTTGCTTTTGCTCGTAATAATGGTAATAGGCGATTCACATGACAGGCAAATCCACGTTTACAGGAAAGTCACCATGGAGATATTCCTGCGGGTGACCAAAATTTGCCCGCGGGAATCAAAAGTGTCCATGGCCTTTTTGTCCGCGGATGCACTCATCTGCGGGCACTTTTACAGTTATGAGGCTGTGAGGTCGTACTATGGTACGGTAGTCTTGAACCCTGGTTGTTTGGCCTTTGTTTTTGGGTACTCATTCCAAATCACCACAGTAACGCCGTATACTCACCGGATACTCGCGGGAGCTCTGGCCGCCACCCGCGGCCGTGTGAACTGCGGCCTCACGTTTCACTTCCTGCGGGCACTTGACAAACGTGGATTTGCCTGTCGTGTGAATCGCCTATAAAAGAGGCTGTTCAAAGTAGAAAAAATGTACACGCAGATGTACAACTCTGTATAAATGTACATGCATGTAAGACTGTACCATCGAATAAGAACGAAACTGCTGTGTTCAAGAAATAACACTAAGAGCAACAGCAGTGAAATTTACAAGTGTGAATTTTAACAATCAAAGCGAGAAATGAACAAAGGAGAAAGGAAGGAAAGACAACGTGGTAACACATAACAGCAGTACATTGATTATGTGTTATCACGTTGTCTTTCCTTCCTTTCTCCTTTGTTCATTTCTCGCTTTGATTGTTAAAATCCACACTTGTAAATTTCACTGCTGTTGCTCTTACTGCTGTGTTCGTTAAAATTAAGAACGAGCTAGGCTAGAACCCTGACCCCCCCCCCCCCCCGTTCTTCGGCGCCCGACAGTTCTGTACCTGTTTGCGCAAGCACCTAGAACCGGGAAAGGACAACCTTTCTGCGCAGTGACACCGGAACGTGCCCCCCCCCCCCCCCCCCACACACACACAGCGAATCATACTGAGAGTGAGAAGCACAGCAACATGGCTGGTACAGCATGGTACACTGTACATGGCCGGTACAGCATGGTACACTGTACAATAATAGTTGGAAACACAGAGAGTCCAGCAGCATCGCATTAGTCCACAGCAAAACAGAACTGGGGTAAAAACATGACATAGTGCTACGTCTACATCACACATAACACAAAGCGAGCCGGGAGTACGTCCATAGTATTCTATACACTGTAGTAGAATACATACAAGCACCGGTATAGTAAAAAACAGGCGAAAAGGAAAGGAATACCACACAAAAAGCCATACACTGTAGGAGAGTTGAAGTGCGTTCCTTAGTAATGACCTCTAAGTTACTTAGCACTTGTTGAAGTACATGAATACAGTCATGGGACATGCTTCAAACACTGCCAGTGCATGCCAGTGTCAAGTGTTTACTGTACACTTTGTACACTACAGCGTGACTAGTACTAGTTACATGGACACGTCGTGGCCATTTGTGGACTGCTGCTACTGCTGCTGCTGCTGCTGCTGCTGCTGCTACTGTTGGCTGTACAAGGGTGAATGCTGTTAGCAGTGTCGCTGCTATCACTAAATGATGGAGTTGCACCTAAATTGTGCACAGATGCACAGCTATGATACACACACACACACATGCACACAAACAAACAAACACAGTATCCACAGGTCTATGCACAACACGGCACACACACACATACACACACACATACACACAGCACAGGTTCAACACCAGTGCTCATCATCGCATTGTGCATTCATAGCAGGTACACACAAGCAGACGTGCATCAGGCGAAAAAAGAGCGGAATACCAGCAAGAGGTAAAGCACACCACACGACTCCCGGAAACATAAAAGGCCAAGCACCAACTGGCCTACGTTGATCAAAGAGAAACGGCGCTAGTGTCGGGAATCTTCATTCGACGTCTTAGGATGGGACTGAGAAAATGCCAACTTGAACAAGAAACCTTGTCCATCTGAAAGCAGACAAACAGCAACATATGCATACCATTGCCAAACTGAGAGAAAAGAGAAAGTTTTGCACATATCCGTGCTGAATGCAAGCACCCCACACACCCTGGCAAGCACCCCACATACCCTGGCAAGCACCCCACACACCCTGGCAAGCACCCCACACACCCTGGCAAGCACCCCACACACCCTGGCAAGCACCCCACACACCCTGGCAAGCACCCCACACACCCTGGCAAGCACCCCACACACCCTGGCAAGCACCCCACACACCCTGGCAAGCACCCCACACACCCTGGCAAGCACCCCACACACCCTGGCAAGCACCCCACACACCCTGGCAAGCACCCCACACACCCTGGCAAGCACCCCACACACCCTGGCAAGCACCCCACACACCCTGGCAAGCACCCCACACACCCTGGCAAGCAGAGTATATACAGTCATAGCATCACAGCAGTACAAACTGGCCCGCAGAGTTGCTAAGAGCGCATCCATGGCCTCTCTTTTTCTTTCCTATTTCAGAAATCAAGTTAAGAAATACCCACACTGAGTCTGCGGTGATGTTTCCAACGTTTCCTTTCACGTTGCAACATCAGATTCTGCACCAGTCTGCTTTTTTTGCCATCGTCACTTCACCTCTCTGGTTGTGAGTCAGCCATAGCAGAGAAAATGTTCCACTGCTTCAAGTTGGAGAGTTGGAGAAAGCCATGGTCTTCCTGTGAACTGCCATTCTGCTCATCATACAACCGAAGTTTGTCAAGGGAGTATCAGGACTGTTGTTGCAAGTTCATTCGTTACCCGTGGATAATGAGGATGGCGGGGCTGACTAGAGCCGGGTGTGTGTGTGTGTGTGTGTGTGTGTGTGTGTGCGTGTGTGTGCGCACGTGCGTGTGTGTGCGCACGTGCGTGTGTGCATGTGCGTGTGTGCGTACCGGTTCTGAAGTTTTTCCTCTACAAAGTATGTGACCGAATTGCCAAAGAACTCCCTTTTGCTTGCCCACATCAGGGTGAGAACAGGAGACAGGGTTACGACTACTTTGTAGGAGGTACTCCCTAAATCGATTGTACTACTTGTAGCACATCCACAATATAACGTAAGCCCCCCCCCCCCCCCCCACTCTATTGGGCTATTGTGCAGCGACTGCTCTTACTTGGAGCATGGATAGTCACGTGGTTGCACAAAGCCATGGCTTCCAGTGCATGACCTGCGTCTGAATACTCCACAAGTCCAGTGACACGAGATGTAGGACCTGCAGAAAGGCAACAACAACAACAACAACAACAACAACAACAACAACAACAACAACAACAACAACAACAACAACAACAACAACAACAACAACAACAACAACAACAACAACAACAACAACGGTAGTGATGATTATCACGACAATCACACCCATGACAAAGATGACGATGACAACAACAACAACGACAATCGCAGCAGCAGCAACAACAACAACAACAGCAGCAGCAGCAGCAACAGCAGCAGCAGCAACAACAGCAACACCAATCTCTTATGGGCCAATGGCCATCGTGAGAATAAATATTTCAAAAAACATTAAATTTGGCATTCCTGCGCAAGATGGTGTTCGAAGGTCGAGAATTACATAATATTATTTGGCCAGGGCGAAAAATTGAGGCGGGTGCTGACAATAACCATTTTCTTTCCATGGCCTTACTACAAATGAGTTTATAATTGGTAAAAACAGAACACTGAGATCAATGGTGAAGAGACCACATTGGATACAACCACTAACCTCCTTTCTTGTCGAAAATAGTCACTCTAGCTGGCACTGGAGCTTTAGCTGCTGAGAAAATCTATAATGCATGAACAAATGCAAGTTACAGGTACAGAAGGAGAGGAATGTGCATTACATACATACAAAAGAGACTCCGAGCCTGGTACCTTCAATCAAAACTCTGCGAGTGAGATTACTGGGTCAACACTATAGCTACAGTTCTGTCTGTCTGTCTGTCTGTCTCTCAGTCAGTCTGTCTGTCTGTCTGTCTGTCTCTATGTCTGTCTGTCTGTCTGTCTGTCTGTCTGTCTGTCTGTCTGTCTGTCTGTCTGTCTGTCTGTCTGTCTGTCTGTCTGTCTGTCTGTCTCTCAGTCAGTCTGTCTGTCTGTCTGTCTCTATGTCTGTCTGTCTCTATGTCTGTCTGTCTCTCAGTCAGTCTCTGTCTCTCTCACTTTCAGAAACACACACACACACACACACACACACACGTAAACACACACACCTGAACTGGATACGAGGCACGGGTTATAACTCACCTTGCTAAGATCATCCTCTGTGACCTCATTGTACGCATTGAAGAAGTGCAGCACACGGGTAGGATTGATCATGTCTGGCAACCACTGGAGTCAAGGTCCCCATACCACAGCACTATACCAGTACGACAGACCGCCACATCACTAGATCACACGTCCAATTATTTCAATAAGCAAACATACTGCTGGGAACACAAAGACCATGCCAAGGGGCTAGTGAACTGCACGACATTGACCCGGTTCCTAATCTCACAC